CTGTCCTAAACCTGGTGGGCAAACCGTTCCAGAGGGTTGGCGCTCCCACAGAGAACGCTCTCCCCCTGGGGGCCGCCAGCCGACATTGTCTGACTGACGGCACCCTGAGGAGGCCCACCCTGTGAGAGCACACAGGACGATGGGAGGATGGCAGAAGATGGTCCTGCAAGTACCCCAGGCCTAAGCCATGTAGTGCTTTATAGGTGAGTACCAGCACCTTGAAACGAACCCGGAGGACCCCTGGCAGCCAGTGCAGCTCGCGCAGGAGAGGTATTACACGGGAGTAACGAGAGGCTCCCGTAACAACCCGTGCGGCCGCATTCTGGACTAGCTGAAGTCTCCGGGTGCATCCCAAGGGCAGCCCCATGTAGAGGGCGTTACAATAATCCAACCGAGAAGTAACAAGGGCATGAGTATAGGGTGGATAATGCAAGCTTTCATTTTAAGTCAACCATTCTTCAATATCAATTCAGTTCCAGTTTTACCAAATCAATAGAATGTATGTTGCTTCATCATCTGAGGGAAATACATACCCACGGATCAGTGTGGAGGAAAGTGGGTTGTTAGATGACCCAGGTTATTCAATGTATTATTCAAAATATTCATAAAATGACTCACTTACACCTATATTTTATTTATTTATTTCCTGCCTTTATTATTTTTACAAATATCTCAAGACAGTGAACATATCCAATATACCTCCCTCCTCCTATTTTCCTCACAACAACAACCCTGTGAAGTGAATTGGGTGAGAAAGAGTGAATGGCCCAAGGTTACCTAACTGGCTTTCATGGCTCAGGCAGGACTTGAACGCAGAGTCTCTTCTTTTCTAGGTTGGTGCATTAACCACTAGTTCAAAAATCCTTTCATATGTTATGGCAAGTACAAGATGTATAAAAATTATTATTATGGTTGTTCCCACAGTCAGCCAGATGTTTAGATTGGATTTGGCATTTTTATCCATCTATTGGGTCCTTCCCAAGGACCTGAGATAGGCAGATATTGTTTTTTGATAATGTTAAAGATATCAACACAGGATGTAAGTTGTTGCAGGTAAAGATGCTTTTTGCTATTGATAGATGGTGATTTTTATCAATGCTGATGGTGTTCAGATGGTGTTCCAGATGTTGTGGGATTTCATTTAAGGTTCCTATCATCCAATTTCCAGACCTTTTTTTTGTCTCTCTTATTGACAGTTGTTAGGTTTGGAGGGTGTTATGTGCGTAACAATTGTCAATAAGTAAGACAGAAGTCTCAATTATTTACTAGTGTTAATAAAATAATGTAAATAAAAATAAAATAAAATAAAATATATCAATTATCACCTTCATCATCATCATTATTTTGTTATGATTTTTAATATTAATGTCCTTACATGTGTAAGGACTTCACACTACCTATGTAATACCAATAATGTGAATCCTTTCTCCTTATTGATGTCAGATTGATATTAAGTATAGGGAAAAAGCCATTGTATTCAGTGGCTTCTTCCCCATACTATATATAAGAGCTATGGTAATGCAGTGGTTAGAATGCAGTACTGCAGGCTAACTCACTGCTCACTCCAGGAATTCAATCCTGACCAGCTCAAGGTAGACTAAGCCTTCCATTCTTTTGAGGTCAGTAAAATGAAGACTCAGATTGTCAGGGACAATATGCTGACTCTGTAAACTGCTTAGAGAAGGCTGCAAAGCATTGTGAAGCAGTATATAAGTCTAAGCACTATTGTCACTGCTATTGCCTATAGAATTGTTCTCGAAATATAAAGAAACTCCGAAATTCAGGGTAAGTCTGATTATTGTAATTCAGAGCAGTTGATATTATGTGGACAACCTCTAATCTGCTCTACAACAAATCAAAACTCTCCAAAATGCCAAACCAATCTGAATAGGTTTCCCCTGGAGTTACTTTGTACTATTTCTGAAGCTCAGTGTCTGCCAGTCCTTAAAAGTTGTGACATATTATTTCCCTAACTACCTAACTACATTAAGATCTTATTCTTCTATGCTGGGGTCTTGGCATTATGGGTGCTGACTGGGTTGGGGGGCAGAAACATAGGGTGGCAACCTTCTGCAGAACCACCTTCCCTCTCCCCCACACCCCATTTCTCCTTTGCCTCTTCTTTGGGTAGCCCTGAGGAGACCAAAGGAATGAAAAAAAGTGTTCCCATATGTTTTAAGTGCCTTGTGTGGTGACTGTTTCCTTCTTTTGACTGAGAGCCAGGAGAGCAATTGGTGGTGGGTGAATGGCAGCAACTAGTGGGAGCCCCTGTGTGTTTTGTGAATGAATGTGCTGTAATGTATTATAATGAATGTAGTGTTTTGTGGTGTGTGGAAAGGTGTTGGCTGGATTCCTATTGGTGCTGAGAGCTGGTAAAGCTGAAGTGCCTTGGGAGGGGGTTCAGCTTCCACCTCAGGGATAGCGGATGAGAGCTCTAGGAGGTTCCTGTTCTTGGTCCTTGTGAGAGGATTGGTTCTGAGGGTGAACGGAGTCAGTTCATAGGATCATAGGTATTTACTTATTTATTAAATTTATATAGGCACTCGCCTCATGAGAAGTATACAAGAATTAGTAAAAAAAAAAAAGAGAATACATATATAAAAACAGAGATTTAAATATAGAAAAAATTAGCAACAAAATGAAGATGATTAAAACCAAAAATATACAAACCTCAAGCAGAGAGAGAGTGAATACATCCATCTCAATCATGGAGATATGGCGGGATTGGGTTATTTTTGGGGACTGCAGAACTGTTGTTTTATAACAATGGTTCTGCAGTTCCTTGATCTCAGTGGCCCTTCAATGGTCCTTGCTGCTACTGAATGCCAGATCAGTCTGTAATAATACCTCCCTCATTCAATGATTTAACAAAAGTAATAGCAGAAAACAGAATACCAGAGTTGGAAGGGACCTTGGAGATCTTCTAGTCCAACCCCTTTCACCAGGGGTGGGCAATTGTGGCTCTTTTACAACCTGTGGACTTCAACTCCCAGAATTCCTGAGACAGCAAGTTGTCTCAGGAATTCTGGAAGTTGAACTCCACAGGTTGTAAAAGAGCCACAATTGCCCACCCCTGCCCTACACCACTTCAGACAAATGATTATCCAATATCTTCTTTAAAACTTCCAGTGTTGGAGCATTCACAACTTCTGGATGCAAGTTGTTCCACTGATTAATTGTTCTAACTGTCAGGAAATTTCTCCTTAGTTCTAGGCTGCTTCTCTCCTTGATTAGTTTCCACCCATTGCTTCTTGTCCTGCCCTCAGGTGCTTTGTAGAATAGCTTGACTCCCTCCTTTTTGTGGCAGCCCCTGAGATATTGGAACACTGCTATCATGTTACCTCTAGTCCTTTTTTTCATTAAACTAGACATACCCAGTTCCTACAGCCATTCTTCATATGTTTTAGCCTCCAGTGCCCTAATCATCTTTGTTGCTCTTCTCTGCACTCTTTCCAGAGTCTCCACATCTTTTTTACATCGTGGCAACCAAAACTGGATGCAGTATTCCAAGTGTGGTCTTACCAAGGCATTATAAAGTGGTATTAACACTTTACATGATCTTGATTCTATCCTTCCCCTGCCATGCCCACCAAGCCACACCTACAGAACCGGTTTCACCACTGGTCCCATCAGTATCAAACTCCAGGCTATGGTCAGAGTTTGCCTGCAATACTGCATTTTAATCACTGTACCACGAGGGCTTTGATCATTGATGAGAGAGCTGACCTGCCATATATTGCTAAAACCTGGATGGATTCTGAAGGAGGGGTTGTTTTTGAAATTTGCTCAGCTAGATTTCAAGTGTAGCATTAGCTGAAACTCAGGGGCAGAGATGAGCTTGTGGTATTTATGGCTTTCAGGGGGCCTGACCCACAAATCCATAGTTGTGAGATCCTGTTCATTAGCTGGATTAGGGGATCAGTTGGGATTGTTGCTATTGTATCAATCTCCCTGCTACATAACAATTTCTTTGCGTCAGCTCTTTGAGTTCATTTATGGGTTGATAATAGAGTTTGATAAACTTGTGGTTCTAGGGGACTTCAATTTGCCTTCCCTAGGAATGGGTTTGGGAATTCATTGGTACCATGAATTGGTACTATGGGCTAATCCAAGTTGTCCAGAGCTCAGCTAAGGACAACAGTCACACTCCAGATTTGTTATTTCTTTCAGAGCACTGGTAATTTGATCATAAATTCAGGTAGCTCTTGGTATCACCTTTGTCATGATTGGATTATACCCTAATTTCTATTAGATTCTCGGGTGCTACTACCCACTGCAGTGAGCCTGGACCCATTAGATTGGTTCTCCTACAGTGATTGATGGACCTGGAGCAGATTCAGAAGGAGCTGGGATTATCCCTGTAGATTTGCTGCACAGTCTATCAAGAACATATAAGGGTGAGCATATGGATCAGATCATCCCTTTGTGATCTTTCTTCTCTTGTGGATCCCATCACTTCCTGAGATTTACAAAGGAACTGAGGAAGATGAAAAGGGCGAAGATATGTTTAGAGTGTCACTGGCACTCAACAAAGACGAATATGGGTTAGAGCTACTATTAAAGTCTACTTTGTAGCAGTTAAGGGTGGCAAAACTCCAGTACTTCTCCAACCTTATTGCCTCTGCAGATTGTCATCCCACAGCCCTGTTTCAGGTAACATAGGCCCTCTTAGGTGAAGGGAGCATAGATAACTTCTTACAGGGATGTGCAGAGAAATTTGTGTAGCGTCTGTTGGATAAAATCACTCGGATTGTTTCAAGTTGGATACTGGCCTTGCTGCAGGTCCTGAGGAGTTCCTTGAAGAGGAATCTTGCCTGATTATTTGGGAATGGTTTGAACATGTTGGACTCAGGATTGTGAACATGGCCACCTGATTCATGCTCCTCCTGGCTCATTAAAGCAGCTTGGGGTGATGTGTAAGTGGATTCTCGTTAATTATTCTTTCAATGAGAGAACTGTTCGTTTACATCTTAAAGAGGTCTTGGTTTTTCCCATTCTAGAAGCCATCATTGGATCTCACCATTCTGGCCAATTTTTGTCCAATATCTCAATCTCATTCTTGGGAAACATGATAGAGAACTTCAGAGTGGCCATGGACACAACAACTTCAGAGGGCCGTAGAGGAAGCAGATTAAATGGATTCTTTTCAATCAGGATTCAGACATGGGTATGGGATGGAAACAACATTGAACATGTTTTTGAATGATCTTTGGCATGGGCACGCATCTTTGCCCTACTTGACTTCTTGGCAACTTTCAATACTATTGATCATGGTACTCTTCTGGATCAGCTCAGAAGATTGCGGTGGGTGATATTGTGTTGTGCTAGTTCACCTTTTTCTTTTGATTCCAATCCATGTTGGTTAGGGAGGAGAGGTTCACTCTTGCCCCTACTATGTGGAGTGACACAAGATTTGCTGCTTTGTCCTTTTCTTTTCAACATATAATTGAAGCTATGGAGTGAGTTATCCATCATTATGCAAATGATATCCAATTCTGTGTCTCCTTCCCTGATGAATTAAATAATGCTGTGAACAAATTTAATAAAATAAGTATTTTTTTTTAAAAAAAACTATTCATCCAGGGCACCTTTGTTATGGCTAGAAATCAGTTAATATTTACCCCGAATATGTACAGATCACTACAGAGATTCTGAAAGAAATTATCGAAAGTTTTCAGTATCTGAAAATATTGCCCTGAGTTATAATTTCCATTACAGAATTTGCTGGTATTCATACACAGAGAGTGTGCATAGCAGCTGGCAAAAGTAAATATGGCTGGATTGTAAATATGAGACTTGTGAATACTTATGCCTTTCTGGCCATTGCAAAGAAGTTGTTTGTATACATGTTAATCCAGTTGCGCTGATTAGAGCAATATTAAATAGGGCAATAAACAATACCTTTCAGATTTAATTCATTTGATCTTTGGCTTATTTGTAAATGTTCTTGCACAGATAAAACTCCTTTCTAAAATTGGTGCAATGAAGTTTTAGCCAGGAATGATACTTCTGATCAATTGAAAAAGATCACAGCTTTTGGTTGGCCTCCTCACTACTCTTCTGAAGTTTGCGCTTAGGAGATGCTCTTGTGGCCCTTCCTATTCCTTCAGCTTGGTACTTGAATGGCCCTTTCTGTTCTCTGGCTTACTGGAATTGGCCTGCAGGCAAAGCCACAATGAATTGTTCCCCAGTCATGTGCGCTATTCTAAAGAGCCCTACTCATCCCACTCCTTTAGCCTTGGCTTCAGTGAGAGAGCAATTCAAACTGGAGTAGACTAAATTGCCTCCTTTCTTTTTTTGCTTGCTTTCATCTTGGCAAAAGCTTCCCTCCCCTCTCTTTATTTCTTCTATGCCTCAGGCTCACATTAGTGCATTTTCTTCAGCCACCCCTATTTTGAAGGGGTGTGTTGCGGAGCAGAGAGGGGGAGGAAGGTTGAGAAAAGAAAGATGTGTACACAAAAGCCCTGCTCTGTAACTAAAAAAGCTGAGGCTGGGACCGCCTCTTGAGCTGGATGATGCTTTTCCTGTTTGTGAGTTTGGGAAACATTTTTGCTTTGTACTGTAATGGAATTAGAGGACAGATGCTGACTGTAAATGGGACACGCGACAGCCAGCCTCTAGCTTAAATATTTTGAAGCCATATTACAATTACTGACTTGATATGGCACTTTGAAGTGGTTGCACATGATCTAAGGGGCGGTCCGAAAGAGATGGATGATCAGATGTTTCGGTTTTGATAGCAAGGCCTGGTTTTGAAGACATATTTTAGACTTATTAGAGTATATTAATATTTTTTAATGACAATTTAGAGTGAAGATTCACAAATTAGATTCCAGGATATTATTAGTCCTTTGTTTTGACAAAGAGCTTTATTAGCACCAAAAAGACATACTGTGTTTTTCTGTTTTTACAGTGGCAGATCTATGAGTTCATGGAATTTCTTAATTAGGAAAAATTGAGCTTGCAGTCTGATATCTTTAAGCTCTAGTCTGTCTGTCTGTCTGTCTGTCTGTCTGTCTGTCTGTCTGTCTGTCTATCTATCTATCTATCTATCTATCTATCTATCTATCTATCTATCTATCTAATCATTTATGTACGGCCCATCTCCCTCAAAGTAGCAGTTACTGAGTTTCAAGCTGATCGGTCAGAATCAAAAAGCTATTGTAGCTCTTTGTGCATATAGTAGCAGCCCTTCCTGCCAGATTAAAGGTCAAACAACCTTTGTAGGAAATTGTCCAGAGCAGCATTTGTTGTAATCAATTAAATCCAAAATAAGATAAGCTTCAGAAATGCATTAAGATAGCCCATATTTCTACAGAAGCCTTTTTTGGAAAACATATGGTTATCTCTGGTTCCAGTTTATGGATACTTCATAATTCTTCTTGATCAAAAGCGGCTATTCTTCTCCAGAAGAAAGTTCGTTTGGTATGCCATTTCTTGAAATGCAAAGTGGAATATGGATTAAATGAATACTTTTTAAAATAAAAGTCTTATAGTTATAAAATTTTGTTCAGTTTAACTGTATGCTTAACTAAAATGCTTACCTTTTATTAAACTGCTTTAAATATTTGTCATAATGTTTTGCTTTTTAGTAAAATTAAGCAAAAGTTATTTACTTACATAACGTACAATCTGATTATATGGTGGTTGGAGCTATACACCAAACCAGTCATTTTGTGCCATCAAATTAAATCTATCCTGTTGCTTCCATTTTTTAAAATAAAATAACCTAATATTAACTTAACCGTAAAATAACTCATTCTGTATGGATCCAAATTTTACTCCACTAATATGTGGAACATATTACATCCATAATCACTCCTGTAGCAGCCCACAAAGTGTAAAGTCATCCTGTATCTCATTGGATCTGAGCTAGTTAGGTCATTCTATATAATTTTAAAGATCATCTTAGGCAACACTGCAAACAAATGTTTTCAAATGAAATTTTGTAACACAAAATTACAGTTGAAAATGTATCGGTGTTGTTTTTTTCTGTGATCAGAAAAAATGAAAAATTAAACTTTTGGACTAAACCATTTATGTCATAGAGTCTCTTATTCTGAAATACAATTACAATACTGAGAACAATTGATTTTCAAAGGGATGAGGGAACAGCTAACAGAAATATTTCTCTTTTGGCTTAATACCAATAAAAATGCTTAGCAAAAAAACTGAGATTAGAATTAGTTTAGTATTTAATATCATAATATGCTTTGGGGAGAAGAGATTAAGCAAAGTTGAGCTTGATGGATTGTTGGGAATCCTTCGTCATGATTTATAAAATAGCAATGGGAAATGCAACAAAACTACAAAATCCCAAAACACAAAAGCTTGTTTCAAAACAATTTGAAAATACAGTATTCACTTTTCATTGTATCATTGCACCTTCTTTTGTGTGTTACTAATACAAGGGCCAAACAGACAAGCAGTCCCAGTTTGCAAGGATGTAAAATTGTCTACAAGAGTACAAAACAGCTTCCCACTAGATTTTTAACAACTACTGGACCATCTATCTTTCTTTTTTTTTCTTTTGAGGAATTTTTACGTCTATGCTGTTCCCTCATCCCCTTGAAAATCAATTTTTAAATTTTTATTACAAGGGGAATTAACAATTTTAAATCAGTACTGGCCTGTTACAAGATAAGCAAATTATGCAACATTTGCTCCATTTTATACTCTTTATCTTTGCAAATAGGAGAATTGCAAAAGATAGTTAATCAGGCAAATTGAGATGTCTTGTGTTGCTTAATGTTTCTTCTTTGTTTTATAAGTAGAAATTAACATCTGAAAAGGATATTTTAGCATCTCTCCCAAATACTAATTAGTAATTAGCTATTTCTACTATCTGGCACTAGCTCATTGTATTCTTATGGTTCATTTTCTATTATCATTCCTGAGATCTTAGGATAATTTCAATTTGTTTGCTTTGGAAAATCTTTTTTTTTAATGTGCATATGTGTATATATCTTTAATTCTTCCTTTGTATTAACGATCACATTGCCTATGGGGGTATATGAGATTAAATGATTGATTTAATCCTACAAATCCCATGGGCAATAATTGAATTTCATAGATCCCCATAGGCAATATGGCAATATATGTGGACACAAAGAAGGATTTTAATACATATACATACATATAAAAATCCTGTCTAATTTGATGAGAATAATAATGCATAGCACCTGCAATTAGTTAAAATGGAACCTTTGTTATATTTCTTCCAATAAAAACCATGGAAGCTATTAAATGAAGCTGTGTTTATTAGTCCTATTTTAAATACATGTCTTGATTTTTTTTCAGATTAAATGAAACAACTATCCAGTATGATCCAATGCATATTTAGTCTGTAAGAAATAGGAGAATAATCAGATTTAATGGAATTTCCTGCTCAGTAATGTGATTAAAGCAGCTCACCTGTTAGCAACACTCTACATATTCAATTTTAGCTTTGACACTATAAACTGTAATAAACAGAAGATAGATTGTAGTTAATTCTGGAAGTCAATAAAGCTACTTATATGCAAAACTACAGTATATGCATTCTTTATCATTTTCTATTTAGGATACCACAAAACATACTGTAGACTCTACAGTATGTAGAGTGTATAGCTGCACTGTTCAAATAACTTAAGAAACTGGCCTTTAGTTTCAAGAACTTGTTAAAAAGTCCCTTATTTAATTAAAGTGTTAATCATAGCAGACATGCTGGCAGGATTACTTCAGTGTGTATATATTCAGTTACAAGGTGCTCATCACTTTTAAACATAAGGTTTTAAGTAAGTAAGTGCAGTAGAGTAAGCATCAAGCCAATTTTCTCTTACAGTAATATTAGGTGTAAAATGAAAACATGTTTCTCCAAGTCAAGTAGATTGATTATTTGGGGGGTGGAAGAATTGCTGGGGCATTAAAAGTGCCTCACAGGTATCTTTTAAGGTTGATTTTTTGGGGGAGTGCACATCCATCATGGTTATTTTTTCAGTCAAGCCATTCTACATTGCATTGGGTAAGTTAGCCCACCTTCTCACTTTCTTATTTAATGGACAAAAGTGTGAAAGTAAGAGGCAGGATGTTGTCTCAATTTGGTTTGTTGTTACTGGTCTGTTGAAAACTAATATAAATAGTAATGGAAACTAAATAGTTTGTAGCTGACATAATAAACTGTTTCATCAAACTGGTTGCTTATTTTCTTCAGATGGAGTATGGTTTTATTTCATTTTTTTCTATACATTCATCATGTGTCATTTGCTTATAAATTGTTTGCTGTGTATTTCAAACCAAGCCAGCTAATCAATGGTAGTTATCTTAATATGTCTATACTGGGGTGAAATGTACTTACCTTTCCTACCGGCTCGCTGATGTGTCTGCACGCACACTGTCATTTGTGCATGCGCAGATGGTCAAACCGGGATGTGACAATGTCCCAGTTTGGGGGGTGGGGTGGGCGGAGCCTGCTGGCAGTACCGGCTCTCTGAATTACCAGCCGCTGGCGCTACCGGGTCCTGCGAGCCGGATAGAGCCAGCAGCATTTCACCCCTGGTCTATACATTATCTACATGAATGGCCTCTGCAGATGTATTAAGATTACAATCTCTCTATTCAGAAATGGAAGGGTATGGTGGCTCTATGCTCTGTCCAGTGACGTGACTTTCAAGCTTTTTTTTAATTTGACACTGACTGTATAATCACACCCAGTAAAAAATGTAAGGGAGTGAAATACGGGAAACTTCAGTGCTATTTCTCACTTTGTCTCTAGTCCGCTGTTCTTGAAAAGAACCAACCTCTCTTTTGAATGTGGTTCTTATTTGAAGATAGTGTTATTCAACTTCCTTATGAAGTAATTTTGAGAAAAGCAATAACAAAGCTTCCTTAAATGTAAGACAGAGATCCAGAAAGATCTATCCTGATGGCATCTGGAATGGGAAACCTCTGTTTGAGATATTGCCTGTACTGATGTGATCTCTGGATTGCCATTTTTTAACTATCTTGTTAAAATTAATTTTATTAATTTTGAATTCATTTATTGTACTTCTGTTTGCTCATTTTTATAATGGCATCAGACAGCATGAAAATTAAATTAAATTAATTAATTAATTAATAAGAATTATTTAGAATTTTCAGACAACAGCTCAGTTTTATTATAACTCTACAGCAGGGGTCGGGAACTTTGGCCCTTTTATGACCTATGGACCAATTTCCAGAATTCCATGAGCCAGCATGGCTGGCTCAGGAATTCTGGAAGTTGAAGTTCACAAGTCATAAAGGGGCTATAGTTCCCCACCTCTGCCCTACAGCTTATCCGTTCCCCTTACTCCATTTCTTTTTTAGCACAGCTTTTGTGAAGAAAATGAATTTTTCTACTTTTTGGTGTTATATACCAATACAACGTAATGGTCGGTTTTAACTGTGCACTGGAATCATTCACGTTCTGAAACCTGAAAGATCCTGCTTGCTTCTGGGCAATTATGGCCTGGTGGCTCAGCAGACTGATAGCATTGTGATTAACACCAGCTGTCTGCAATTACTGTAAGTTCGAATCTCACCAGGCTCAAGGTTGACTCAGCCTTCCATCCTTTCTAAGGTAGGTAAATTGAGGACCCAGTTTGTGGGGGCAATAAGCTGACTTTGTATAAATATACAAAAGTATGAAGGCTATTGCTTAACGCATTGTAAGCCACCCTGAGTCTCTGGAGAAGGGCGGCATATAAATCAATTTTTTTTAAAAAAAATTATGTGGTCCTCAGAGAACCTAGAGCAATCCAAAATGGATCTTTGTATTGAATGGAGACAGCTCCAGTGATTCAGCTTTTCAGAATGTTGTAGAAAAGCAGACACTGTGTCTACAAAAAGCAAAACAAAACTACTTTTTTTTCTGGAATTGAGTTGAGCAATTGACAGATTTATCTTCTAATCACAGAAAACAGTTCATCAAGGAATATCTAATTACAGTGCTTTGAGTGAGGAATGCTTGCCAGCAGTACTTGCAGAAAGTGATTAGGTTTTATATAAAACCAAACTTAGTTATAAGTCCTAAAGCATCTGAATTCAAAAGGATCTAGATGCATAGATCTTGTACCTGTTTTTCTATCAGTGGTGGGGCTTCTTACCAAATGGCTACTCAGCTCAGCAACTGACATAAACATTTGCCACTAAATAATGGCAGAATTAATGCTGATGACAAATATTTTGATACTCAGAAATTTATTGTAACCTAATTTGTTATTTGTTAGTTAAACCTTATAATACATGAAAAAGAGCCTTGGTAGTACAGAGGTTTAAGGCACCCTGTTATTAAGCGGGTTATTAAGACCAGCTGCCTGCAATTACTGCAGGGTTCGAATCTCGCCAAGGCTCAAGGTTGACTCAGCCTTCCATCCTTTCTAAGGTAGGTAAATTGAGGACCCTGTTTGTGGGGGCAATAAGCTGACTTTGTATAAATATACAAAAGGATGAAGGCTATTGCTGAGCACATTGTAAGCCGCCCTGAGTCTT